ACATCTGCGCGTATCGGAAAATATTAACGAACGTTCGTTAACGAATGGGCGAAATTGATATTATCGCGTGCATGATTCGTGCCTCCGTAATGAGAAAGTAATGATACGTGATCTGACGGTTTCACACGGCATGGCTTCTGTCGTAATCGTAAACGAACGGACGGCGCTAAAACGTTGACACATTCGCGCTGAAATTAGCGATCGCTCGTTTCGTATTTCCGCGCGGGAACTTTCTCCCAGCGCGAGATACCACGTGTCCAATGGGAATGTGTTTCGTTCCCGGCTCGTTGAGTCATCTCGTCAAATAACGAAGGTACTTTATTTCGGTGTTAGCAATTCAGCGAACGCGTTCGCCCACGTGTGCGTCCCTTGTGAAAGCCAATTAAAAAGCAAACGAGAGCGCAGAGTAAATAAAGTTGAAAGAAAGAAAGATGAAAAAATAAACTATCGATATCGAACGCGGTGAATAAGCAACGCACAATGAAACAGCGATGAAAACGTCACGGAACAGTCGCGTCGAAAACGCGTATCGGTTTTCTCATTGAAACAGAACGGCGAACGAGAAAGTATCGCGCGTCGCGAGAGATCGCGTAATGAAAACACGACGCGCGCGGTTTAGCTGCTGTAGCCCTATAAATCTCATTCATATTTATGCCGTTCCCGCCGTGATTATTTCGTAAATGCCTCGTGAATTCTGCGCCGACGAGAGAAAAAAAAAAAAAAAAAAAGAAAAAGAATAAAACTTCGTCTCTCAACCGTTCAATATTTTATCGATCCTTTAAATCGCGGCTGTCCAATCTTTTGGATCTTCTGGGTCAGTCAATGGCCAACAAAAAGTCCTTTATTGTTGAAGGTCGCGCATGATTTACGTTTACTTTTTCATCAGCTCGATGATATTAAAGCAACTTTTATAGTAAAACAATACAACGTTTAGAAAAATATATTTATATTAATTAAAAAAATATAGGATACCGAGCTTGTTTCTTTAGATGCCAATTCATTTGTCTTGATACAACTAGTGGCGGTACGGAAAAATATTTTCAAGACGCTTGCCTAGAAATTTTTCCACATAGCTTCGAAAAATCTGGTCGCAAATACAAGTACTTTTCAAAAAGGATATCACAAGCATTCGTGGTTAAAATTATTCGATAAATAATAAAATTCTTATTCAATTATTCCAATTCTGATTACGCAACGCGGGTAGCCAGCTTTAAATTGTCATGTTTAATTACTCGAAACATGGAAAATACTTTGTAACGTATGGAGTAGGAACCGGAAACAAAACCAAAGTGCTGCTTTTTATCCGTGTGAACAGAAATCTTTTCAATTTATTTACTCAGTATCTTTCTAAATGTTACCAGAAGATAGTAGAACGGATAATGATCGGCGAGTAAAGTACTATTTCAATAACAAAAAAAAAAAAAAAAAAAAAAAAAAAAAAAAAAAAAAAAAAAAAAAAAAAAAAAAAAAAAGAAGAAAAGAAATAATTACGTTGAAGCTGTAATTTTATCGAGTGCTGTATATATTCTTTCACGGACGCGGAACACGATCTGTGCACCGTATGCGAGAGGTACACAAAACGTGTGTTGCATGTTTAAAGTCCGATAAAAGTGAAAAATGGCGATACGATAAAATTTCGAGAAAAGAACTTTACGTTATCGCCACTGCGATATTGGGATACGTTTCTGATGCAAATTATAACGCTGAAATATATGGCTCTGTCAGCGTCTGTCGCGGCTGCTGGTTCGATTATTCACTTAGGCGCACGAGAGTTTAAAAAAAGAAAAAAAAGAAAAAAATGGCAGCGATAAAACGCGACGTCGTTTCAACGATGCAAGATACAAATCGTCGAGATAATTTAACGAGGCGTGGTCCCGGCGAGCATTGCGATTAAGCCGCGCGCGGATAAAGCAATCGAGAGCTATCGTAAAACGGGGCTAATGCTTCGATAATTGAAACAATTGAGTGTCTGTCAACTGGCGAGCGATTCCTGTTTCGACGGAATTCAGAATGCTCTCTGTAATTACTGGAAAATAAATCGCAAAGGAATTCCTCGACTAAACATCTTCGAGCATCGAATGAAAAAATGTCGCTTTCTTATTTTTCTTTTTCTCGAAATAAATCGTTCTTCTCGAAAAAAAATTACCGTACATTCGAAAGCTTCCACTTGAACTCTCTATTGCACCCGCTGGCTTAAATAACCGCAACCATTCCAAAGGGCCGCGAATTTTAATTTCCGGCGCGTAAAAATTCCAGGTGAATCGTCTGTCTTCGATTAAAGCGCTTCTCGCTACGTGCAAAAAGGGCAGCAACTTCCGCAAAGGGCTGGAAAATTTTAATTTTCCAACGCTGCTTGCGTGGAAAGCGGTCTGTTAACTATTCGAACGCGGGAAAGGGAAATTTCAGCGGAAAAAGAGCGGACCGCGAAATATGCACGCCGCCGCGAAACGACACCGCCCGCCCGGAGACGAATTTGTTACGGTGGAACAAAATTAATGAGACGATTATTGGGAGCGACGAATCTCGACCGCGAGAGCGAACCAGGTGATCACGCGTCACCGCCAAACTATTTAATCGCGGGTGAACCGTACGATCGGCGACCATCGGTGAGACGCCATAACAGTTTCATTAAAACGTTCCACCTCGGTGAGTTTCTGGCCTATTATCGGTACTTACGAGCGGAGAAAGATAGCCTCGTACAGGGTGAAAAGGAACGTTCGTTTGAATCGTTCACCTTCGATTTGGTGGAAAATACGTGTAAAGAAAGATTAATCTTGCTGCAAAATTAACCTTGATCTTAAAATTCAAGGTGAAAAATTTTCTCCGTATTGTATTCTACTCATTACGAGTGTGAAACCATAGGCAAGTGGCAAAAACGTTTCTTAGCCGCTTAACCTCTTGTGCTGGCAACCGATTGCGGACCATAACGAGTGACCCATAACCGTATACAATAATTCGTTTTCTTTTTGAATTCATCGGTATATCGCTGGATAGAAATTATGAATAAGTAATCAGTTTATTTATTTTTTTATTTAGACTATGCTTCAATATACTTAAAACTGAGACAATATTGCAATTTTGGGCGAATCTTGACATACGTGGCACGTCATCCCAACGCGAGAGGTTAACGTGCGTCCTAACAGCGACTTTACAGTTCCGACTGTAATATTTATATTTCGAGTAATGTTCACTGATTATTTAGATTCACACTGATGCTGCAATTATGATAAAACAAATATTTAGTGATACCTAATACGAAAATTAGGTAAAATAGACGTACACGCTGTGTTGAGACACGCTGTAAAGTCGCTGTTAGAACGCACGCGTAGTGTTAAATGATTACGAAACATTTTTGCCATTTTTCCAAGAAAACTATTAGGTTGCGACCAATGGTTCTTCGAAGGTGTAGAATTCACTATGTCAGCCACGGACAAATCTTTTCTTTCCACCCTGTACATCGTAGACGATTACTCGACGCGTCGAGCATTACAGTCGAGCGTGATCAAATTCGTCGTTTCAAGATTGGCAGTCAGTGACGGATATCGGTTTCACAGTGAAACGTATAATATGTTATAATCAGTGACAGCGAGAAATTGTCGACGATTTAAATTGAAAGAGGTCATGTAACGATCCACTTATTTGCCTTATTTTGGATCCACTTGTAATTGTCTCATTCATTTCATAATTGTCTCTTCAGCACGAAATCTCTGGTCGCGAGTCCGTCCTTTTTTCGAGCACAGAGAAAGAAAAAGTGAGGATACTTAAAAGAAACATTGCTCGTAATGATTTCAAAGATTGGAATTTTCTTTTACGGTTGCAATCTTCTTGCGATTTTTTTCACCATTCTATCAGACATTAAATATTAAGTTGTTAAATGACAAGAATTCCAGAAATCTTAACGTCATTTGATCTTGAGCATTTCAAGCACGAGAAAGAAATCGTACAGCGAATTTTAAGAGCTCGTTGCAAAGGGAAAATTTCAATCTCCAAGACTATGGCGGATTTAATAAAAACAGTTGTTTAATACTTTCACGTGCGTTTGAATTTTTACAATTTTCGAAGGAAAAATCTTTGTGATATAAAATTATTTTTAAGAAGAGCTGGCTGTCAAATCAGAAATTTTCTCACGAAGTTATATTGCTTTAAATTATCGACAATTTTTGACTGTCACTGGTCACAGTTATGCTCGTCCCTGAAATCGAAAGCTATCGTGCTTTTTAAAGAAGCTGTATCTTTAAAGAAACACGGCAAAGACGGGAATTGAAAAGATAAATATATATTTAAGTTGGCATCCTTTCGCGTAGTTTAAAGCAAGACTTTAAAAGTTTGGACGTTTGAAAAATAACGAAATTTACCGCCGTGCGTAACGAGCCGAGCTTCAACGAGAAAACATGTGAATATCGGCGAACTCTGCAAAAGCAGAGGTCAGAAGTCCGTGAAATCGTTAAAAAGAAAAAAAAAAAAAAAAAAGAAAAAAGAACACGTTGGCCTGATTTCTAATGAAATAAATACAGTGCAGATTCGTATTTGCGAAACCGTTCGTAACGGCAGCCGCGGTTCGATTAAACGGTAAAATTCGATATATTCAATAATTCGAAGCGAAATCGATGACAATCTCTGTAGCCAATCCCGAATTCTTCCCCACGTGGATCGCGCGCGAATTTATTTCGAAGTCGGCAATCTCTATTTTTTTTTCTTTTTTTCTTTTTTTTGTCGAAACGAACGCATAACCTTGCCAAACAATATTCCGCGCGATTTCACGCGATTACGAGTCGTAAACGCAGTGACTCGCGATGGAAACGGCGAACCGAATGAATATTGGAAAACCAATGACGCCGTTGATCGAATGAACAAATTGCTGAATTGTTCCTTATTATCTCAAGCAACGTTTCACTACAACTTTAAAGCGGATATTTCCTTTGGGAAATTTATTGACATTATATCATTGGTCGCGTTATAATTGTAACGATTTATCGGAGCCAATAAACAAGGATACTCACCATATTTCCGCCACGGTGAAAAGTAACTCTCCACTTTCGTCCCGTGTTTCTTACTCGTTCGTCTGCGCCTGAAAATGACACGTTACAATGTAGCAATAAAATTTCAACAGAGGCAGAACGAAACATTCAAAATGATTCTTGTATCTTTTTTCCTTTTTTTTTCTTTTTCAACCATTTCGAGACGGCTGTGTCGTTGGCGAGTGTGCTTCCACTACGCGAGTACTCGCATGGCGAGTAAGGTTCCATTGTACGAATCAGTTACGACGCGAACGTATGTACGTTTTCATCGCGATAAAGGATTATCCGCCACGGTGCAAGTAGGTAGAGGATTGTCCTTTCAGATTTTAAAAATTTAACCCTTTGCACTCGACTGTCCCTTCTTATGGGACGTCGTACGTAAATCTAGCCAACAGCTGGCATCTCCTCTTTTTTCATAATTTGCTGATGATTATAATGGTATAATACACATTTGGTGTTGATGACGGTACAACACGTGAAAGCTATAATAATGACGTAAGAAGAAGAAAAGATTTTCAGAAGATGAGTCCTAAATTCACGTAAACTAAGACTTATTGCTTCTAACGAAAATCTTTTAAAAAATGACGGAGGATATTATTTTTCCAGAGAATTGGAATTTTTGGTATATTATACTTGTTCCATCAAACTTGCAATGCACGTTGATGGTTGCTTCAAATTTAAATGATATCACACGTTTGGAAAGATATAACTAGGGGGCTAATTTACAAAAATCGAATCAAAGAAATTAGAATACAAGGAATAGGAAAAGATTTACCACTCGAGTTTCTAAAGAAATGTAACATCAATTGTAAATCCGCAAAATTAATCTAAAAAAAATTATAAATTGATCATTTCAATCGTAGTTTCTAGTGTCAACGAAATTTCCAACGCTATGTCATTATATTTGAAGTGACGACGCTTCGTGAACAAATTGCTGACAGATGATGCAAAAGAAGTTTTTCGAGAGCAATGTTGAAAAGTTTATAATCAATTACTATATAGTCGCCAGTAGGGCACAGCGTGCGTGACTATAGTCACCGAGGTTGAGCAAGGAATTGCATCGACGACAGGTCCACGACAATGCAGACGACAAGCCCTATCTCTTCTTTCGCCGTCGATCTAAATTTCCATGCTTGTCCCCGATAGGGTAGTTTCTCGATCGGCACTCGACCTCGGAGGAAGCTCTCGCGCGGGCTGATGCGTCGGACGTGTGTCGATTGGATCGTGCGGGTTGGAAAACGAGAGGAAGGGTTAGGGAAATAGGTAGGCCTCTGGCGAGAATGGCGGAGGAGGATCTGGCTCGACTTTCCGCAGCGGCGATAAGACGCGGAATGGACGGCCGTCTCTCCCCCGGAAGCCACGCGAGCCACGCGAGCCACACGATGCGACGATAAGCCGGTCAAAGAATTCAACAGCCGCGATCTACTCGGGCGTATAGCTGCGCGTACGTCGCGCGAGCGTGAGAGAGAGAGAGAAAGGTCGCGATATGGATTTTCACTCGAGACGAAAGAAGAGCATTCCCCTGTCCGTCGTAACAATGCTCGTCAGCAGCTTCCCTCCTGTCCGATGTCACGAGAACGACGAAAGAATGCCAACAAACAGAGAGAAATAGAGAGAGAGAGAGAGAGAGAGAGAGAGAGAGGAAAAGAGAAACACGTACACGTGTACATACGTAAGACGCTCCATCTTGGCTGACATAGGCCAAGAAACGGCGAAGCTCAAGCTGTATCGTTATCTCGGTCGGGCGATAACGATAGAATGGCCATTGCGAGGGCGCGCTCGGTTGCACGCTCGGTTACGTACACGGTGGCCCGATTCGATCCATCATTCACTCGTTCGAGTGCGCATCCCGACATGCAACTGCATGCAACCGCGTGTGCATGCACACGCTCGGACGGAAAGGAGGCTGAATCCGGGCATAACCCGGAGTTTCGGAGTCGAATGAACGAACGAAGGGAACTAGGCATATACCAGCTAGCTGGCTGTACGGAGCTCGAGCTGGGACTCCACTATGGTTGCGTCGCGTCGCTGTGTGCACGATGTGTTATCGGCGTGGCCTCGGTTGCTACACTGACCATCGACCACACCAACGTGAGCACCATGTTTCTCCGGATGAGTCGGATATATAGTGGGAGCGGCGGCTAGATTTCCCTCAAGCTACCAGAGGCCAGCCGCCTCGTTTATCAAGCGCGTGATGAAGCTGTTGGGTTAGACGAGGGCCTCGACGAGAGAGAACCGCGGTATAAGCAAACCGCCCGTCTTATCTAAAATCGCAACGTCTTGTTAGACTTCCCTCTGTGCTCCTTACCCTGCCGTTTTCCACTCCACACTCAACCACCGTTCGCCAACCCTCCTCCTCTTTCGCCTTCGCGCCCTCTCTTTCGTTCCTCGAATTTCTCGTGGCGGGGTTCTTCAAAGAGAAGAACCCCGAAGAATATTTTTCGAAGCGACGCGCGATCGTGTCTCTCGGTCTCTCGGATCCCTCCGGTTGCGTCCCGCCTCCCCAAGTCTTCCTTTTTCTCTTCCGCCGTGGCTCCGCTCGTCGACCCTCGTGTCTCCCGTGCCACCGACAGAAGGAAAAAGAAAATAGAACGTGAGTATTCGATAACGAGGCGGCCCCGGCCCACTTTCCACTGCCTTCCACCAAGAGAAAAATCCTGTCCGTGTCTACGTAGGCAGAGAGACGACGAATTTTTCCGCCGCATTTTCTTGACCCGGTTTTCGCCCGTGTAAAGCGGATGGGATCAGACGCGACAAGTTTTCGCCGGTTTCTGCCGGTATGCCCTGAACACGGTCCAGTCTATTTCGTTTCGTTTCGTTTCGTTTCGTTTCGTTTCTCTCTTTCTCCGCCTTTCTTTCGCTATTTTCTCTTCGTCAAGCAACCGGCGCGCGTTCATCGCCGCGCATTCGCAGCCTTGTTACGCTCGGAGACTTCAGCGCCTCTCTGCGTTTATGTCCATTGGCGGGGAACGTTCTCGGAACACAATTACGCCGGCTAATTGCAGAATGCCAGAACTCCGTGCGTGGAAGTTTTACGAGTGTCTTACGATGGATGTGATCGAGCGTGACGAAGAGCGATCAGCGAGTTCACCAAGAAAGGAGGGATTATACCCTGCTCTCTTCTCAGAGACAACAGTCGTCGTTGGAAAATGCCATTGTCGACAAATACCCAGCAAACGTCAATTCTATAAATATTCTTCTGACTGATCTGGACAAACTTCTTTCGTATCATCCACCGTCAATTTATTTACGAAGCACCATCGCTCCGAATAAAATGATATAGCGTTGGAAATAATCATTCGAATGGTATTTAACACGAAATTTTGTTGATTGATATCTTTCTAAATCATCAACGTGCATTTTCTTAGCCTCAAGTGCATTTCAATATAACCCAAAACGTAAAGTTATTACTTCTCAGTAATTTCTACCTAGTAATTATTTTAAAATGGAAAGAGCTTACGAATAGAGAACAGTTCTAGTATACACCCTGCTCTGCACGTACAGAGAAAAAGATTTGAAAATAATGAATTTTTTTTGTAATGGAAGAACCAAGATTCAGATCATTTCATCCGTAATTCGTGCTTGAATATATAGTTTTCGTAAACAAATATTCAAGAAAATTTATTAACGTTTACTTGGGAAAACTTGTGAAAAATATTGCCGAAACGAAAGGTTAGTTTGCAAATATTTTTGGCATACGTAACTAAATTCGCCGTTAATTTCATTAGTTTACACGAAAACGATATCTCCGATAATTTCCGAGATATTTGAAAAAATATGTTTCCCAACTTTGAGGATAGTTTTCACCCCTTCGACATCGACGATTGCCAATAAAAAAAAAATACGGGTCAAATATTTTTTTTATTAGCAATATCGTTAGCAATTGGCACATTTTACAAGAAACATTCCATCTACTAAAAAGGAAACCTCAAAATATGTGCTGAAAACGAAAAATCTAGAAGTGTAAGCAACATCTTGTCGCATTACACGTTCCATATTGTTTTGAACTATATAATTCCGTAAAAAGTTATTAATAAACAAAGAATTATGATATTATATATATATCTGCGTGACATTTGTCTACAAACAGAATTATTGTACTAATTGTACAAAAGTGTTGTACGTAAAATACGTACAGAAAGAATTCTCGAACCGGTTGAACCTCGTTTCCCCTTTTTCTCAAACAAATTTCTGGCATCTCGGTTCAACTTAAAAAAAGAAGAAACTCGCGGGGAATCTGTCGGAGAGCGACCCAATTCGCGCGATTTTAATACGCCAAGCACGCGAGTTACAAATTCGCGCTGGTAATATCTACTAAATTCCTCTGCTTTAAATGTTTGTGCATCATCGTTTCTTTGACGATGTTTGCAGCCTAGATCCGCGCGATGTTTCGCTCGAGCGGGCTCAAACGCGGCAGCGAATTATTAAAAACCGTCTCGCGTTCACCGCGATAATTGCGTGCGTGCGTGCGTTGCCTTTTCGTGCCCCGTTCTCAGCCGCTTATCGATTTCACTTATGGATTTTCCCGCGCGAGTAACCCGCTGCAGCCATCGAACCCGCTGTACGTATAATTGGCTTTTGGTAACAAACTGTTACAGCTTTATACATCGAACTGCACGTTGCAAACTCGTCAACGGGCGTTGAAATAGCTGTCAAAGTAGCTGCCGGCGTGGCTGTTTTCGAAAATTTCGATCTTCAACGACACTTTTCACAAAGGAAAAAGAAAGAGAAAGACACGAGAAAAACCGCGAGATTCCACTGTCGATAATTCCGTTGGTTCAACGCCGGAATTGAACAATTAGATTCCACGAGGACATTTTCGAGGTTGGGATAATAACCATTTGCGAGTCGACGTCCAATTTCGCGAAGAAATTCCTCCCCTCTCCCCCTCCCCCACCCCCTGGGCAAGAAACACTAGTTAACGCCGCAACTACGTCCGAGTTTTTAAAGGGAAAATGAATAAAAAGGAGAGAAGATAGAAGAAGAAGAAAAAAAAAAACAGAAGATTCAGTTCAGAATTCGCGTTGCGAATCCTCTGTGTCGTCGTACG